TTCAGGATGTATTTGGAGATACTTCCTTTTTCCATTCGGTTCTTATACATCATCGGGTGCGTAGCCATATCGGTGATTCTCATGACATGCGTTCCGTTAACTTGCTGGAGCTTGTTGAATTTGTTGTATAGAAGGTCATTGGGAATAGAGGATTGGAATCGTCCTTTCAGGTAATTGAGAACTGTAGATCCTCTTAATCTTACATTTCCGCCGTATTCCTTATAGCATTGGTGGTATGCGTCGGTTGCCCTTCCTTCACAGAATGATCCAATATATAGTCTTGTCGTAGAATCTTCCACATTTCTCCCTTGCAGGAGAAGATAGTGTGTGAGTTCTGTCGCCTATTGGTCAAAGGCTTCTGGTTTGAGGTCTTTTCCTTCCCATGTAAACTTCGCAGGGAGGTGTAGTTTAAACTTAAGGAGTTCAAATGCTGCAGGTACTTCCTCTTCTTCAGGCCAAGCCCAGGATTTTCCTCCTCCAGAGGGGCCTCCTCCTGTGCTAGCTCTGTCCGATTCGCTACTGGATTCGGAGTCGATTGGAGGTTCACAGGAAGGCTTCTTTGCTGGAGTAGAAGGGAATTCTCCAGCAGGTTGTGTGTCTTGCGTGTTTGCAGGATCACCCGGCTCTTTAGCAGAGCGCTGGGGTTGTTTCTTTCTTGTAAGGCCTTGTAGTGGGATATGCTTCCCACTCCTGGTCATCAAAGACTCTATCGTGGATTTGAGATGAAGCCGAATGTGCCATGATTCTGCCGCTTCTCTCCGCTAGCTTTCTGAGGTGGATATCGATAGGTTGATCAGGGCTAAATCCAGGGACAGGTTCTTAACCACTTGCTGAGGTTAAAAAAATGTAACGTATTTGCAAGGTGCTAATGACATTATCGGTAATAGATACGATAGTTGACAGATGGCCTGCTCTTCCAGAGAGGAGGTGAGAGCTGAGAACTAAAAGAGGCTTCGAGGGTGTACTGAGGAACAAAGAAGTAACCGTTCAACCAAGTATATTGAAATACTGTTTGTCGAAGTCTCTCTTTTCTATCGTAGAAACAGGTGGTCTTTAAATACACAAATCTGTTCATGTCTAGCATGAACAAAACTAATCAAAGGTATTAATCGATACTCTTTGGTGAAACTAATTAAGTATCAAAGCGATACATAAAACAAAACATAAAGTAAAACCAAGTATCAAAGCGATACTTAAAACAAAACATAATGCAAAACCAAGTATCAAACAATACTTAAAAACAAACCAAGTATCAAGCGATACTTAAAACAAAACATAACGCAAAACCAAGTATCAAACGATACTTAAAACAAAACATAACGCAAAACCAAGTATCAAACGATACTTAAAACAAGCCAAGTATCAAAGTGATACTTAAAACAAAACATAAAACAAAACCAATAACCGAGTACCCGTACCGGTTACATGGATTGCACAAGATGTTGATTTTTCTTTTCTTTATTACCTTATTTATTTCTCCAGTTTTATGTACAGTAAGGGCTGGGGTCAAATAAGCCATCGCCATGTAGACCAGTACCTCTATCCCGCCTTGTTCTCCAGCAGCCAGAAGAATAACATTGACCCTGAAAAGGCTAACACCAGTGGCCTGGTGCCTAATCCTCAGATTCCATAACTTAAATGCTGGGAAAACCCATCTGGAGCTACCGATACCCAACCTCTCCTCATTTTAAACAACTGTCTCACCAGTCTCCTACATGGCTATCTATAAGCTGGAAAGACAGAAACTCCCGAATCTCATCTGACAAAGCAAGGAAACCTCCATCCTGGCAGTACACCCCCCACTAAACAGAACAAAATCTCCACCAAGGAAACCCCAAACCAAAAGCCCAAACCAATCACTCACCTACCACAACCAAATTCTTGGCCCAACCCATGAAGTCCAAATAATGAATAGGTACATCTTATAGGTAACGTAAACTTATGCCTGGAGCATATAGCCCACAATTATGAGTAGGAGAAATGGTAAAGAAACAGCGCTGGCTATAAGCAGATGGTATTGGCGAAAGGAGAGCTTCAAGCTATCTGTCTAGGAGGGCTGAAGGGGCTGCCCAAAGCAGCAAAAGAGGGAATAGTAGTAGGGTACTTGTCATGAATGTGGCTTGACAAGGAAATGGTTTTCACGTAACGCGTAGTGATGAGTCACAGGTATGTTATTGTTTCACACGTATGACTCATGCGAGTCATATGATTGGTTATGTTGAGATTTGTTATATTTTATACATCGCTCAAATAAAAGTCATGGGACATGTACCTGGCAAGTATGCCTTGTAAGTAGTATATTGCAGAAAATATTTTAACTGAGGATATATTAAGATAAATTTGTATATTTTAGTATTACATCCAGATTTGTGTATTTCTTGTACTATTAGCTGAACAGATTTATAATACTCACCTAAGAGCACAACTGATGTAAGTAGTGTTTGTACTTTATTGAACTATGCTATAGTTTTTTTTTGTATTTTTCTATATCTCCCAAGCCGTAAAAATTTAATAGTGTTAAGCTATAAACTTAGCCCAGGTATATTATCTTTTCAGCTTTTATTATAATTTATCCAAATTGGTACATGCGGAGCAGAGCCTAAATATTTATCTATTAATACTTTTTCTGTATTAACAATAGTAGCAGTACTACAACATCTTGAGGGAAAAAAACAGTTGTATGCAAACGAGTAAAGCTACTATCAGGTTGAGAGAAGGGGTGAACATAACTTCTGAGAAAGGAATTGCCGAAAATTCCTCACATAATTATTCCAAATTTATTCTATTCGCAGGTAAAGGGAATAAAATTGACGTTATCTTTAATCTTGGAAGTCTTCTCCAACTCTTTCTAAACTCTTGTCATTTTCACTCGCTTTTCACGATTTATGTTGACATTTGTCACGTATATTAAATTTCTGATTTGATATCGGGTCCAGGCGCACTCACTGGCAAAGTCGAGATCGTTGATGTCCTGTAATACATACAAAACCTTACAAGCACGAGGAATAAACTAGCACAAGGATTCCCGGTAAGGGGTAGGGGGTACTCCAGCACCCGTACGAGTACTGTACTCGAGTCCTGACACGCAAGGCTCTTCGTCATGCGCACCTCCACATGCTACTATTTTCTCGCCAAATATTGGGCATTCTTGGCAAGGATGTGTGATCGCTGGAGAGGATATAAGATGTTCGAGAAAGGAATCCCGGTATATACCAGGGTCCCCAGTACTTTACAGCACAGGTAACGGTAACTGCGGGAAGCTCGAGCACGAAATCTAAAACTCTTCTCCCGCCGTGCTGCAGTACCGTGGTGGTACGTAATTCTCCAAGGCGTGACACGTTAAGGGGCTGTTTGGCGGGCTATAGTTTCTGATTCGCTTTCAAGTCGTGGCATTTTGAGCCCCAATTCTTACGGTCCGGCTCCGGAAATCTTGGAATCGGGAGTGAAGATCGGGATGTGCCAAAATGCCTTGCGATTCTGCCCCGAGCCTCAGTTTTTTTTTTTTGGACAACTCGGATGATGTTGAACCAGATTAAGTCTAGGTTGGGGAATTCTTCTAGCATCATAGGAATTAGTATGAACAACTCTACTCGAGTATGTTTACAAGTGCTAATACTTGTATGATACAGATTTAAATACAAAATTAAGTTGACCCCTGATCACGCACTTTAACTCAAATCTGGATCTGATCTCAAATCGCGATCTGGAATTGGGATCCCAATGACCTCTTAATTCGAGACTCCGATTTGAATCCAAACCAAATCTTTTCTTTTTTTGGAGTTCCAAATAATGGCACGCCAAAGATTCCCCTCGCGACCACTGCCAGAGAGAAAAATGAAACAAGATGTGGCGACATACTTATGCGAGGGGAACCGTTACCGTACTCCAAACCCACGGCAATCCCTCCGCTGAGCCTCCGGAAGCGCAGTATTCCGTTCCCATTGCGGGATACCGATGCCTTACGCAAGGCCTACTAAGTACACCTCCGCTGCGCCAATCGCTGCACGGAAGCTCGAGCTCCCGGCGTGCTGTGGCCATGATTGGGGATGAGATGGGAGTGGCTAACGCTGACTCCTGCCTTTGCGCATTCTGGGCAGTCTCGAGGTAGTTAGGCTGTAAGTTTGACCAGAAGATAAGGTACAAACTGGGTTAACCTTAACTTAAACCGCCCGTTCCTTGCAACTTTCTTACTTTTGGCAGTTCGTCTCTATTTTTTTATACGACTTCGGAACATATCTGATCCGTTCTCTCCCACTCCCATCCGGAGCCCCTACGGAGGGGAGTGGGGAGTTGAAAGGGATTGTCGCCCCCCCCCCCCTACTCAGCGGAACTTCGGATGGAAATAAATAAAGTTAGAGTGCTTTTTCTCATTTCCGGCGTCTACGAATGATGGGATACACGTATGGTATTGTTAGAAATTTAGTAAGGTATATTCCTGGATATATACGCACGCATTACTAGACCGGGCTGGCTCATATCATACAGGTATAGTTGGGGATTGCGGCAGTGTGAACGGTTACGAGTGCGAAGGGAGGCCGTTTGATTTGGGTTTGCTGTCTACGAGTAGTATTGGGTACAGTATCCTCGTACCATGGCTGCTGTCAGGGCTATCCACTGGCGAGGCACTGTACTCGAGTGTGGGTGCCAGTGAAGTGGGATTAGACTTATTCGATTCGTCTGATATTGGGACAGATAGATTGCGGTCCGCTAGTACTATATTTGGAAACTAGACTAGCTACCCCCTTCTCTGGGTAGTGAGTTAGTTGATTAGTACTTAAGTTGTGGGTCCCCGCCGAAGCAGAGGTCGAAAGATCAAAGCGGGATAGAAGGCACTCGGATCCTTTCTCTTCTTGATTATCCCTCGTGAATATCATTTGGAGAATATAGCACAAGAGCTTTCATTTTAGCTTTGATAAAGGCCTCTACTTCTCTTTTTTCTTTCCACTTCTATCGCGACTGCTTAATCTCGATTCCTGATTGCTTTTCCGGAAAGATACAGGATGTCGGACAACACTTCAGAAAATTTCGAGCTCTACCGCTACACCCCATCACTCGTCGGAGCAGTCATCTTCGCCGCGTTGTTCTTTATCTCATCGGGGTATCATGTAATCCAATTGACCAGGGCTAGGACATGGTACTTTATACCATTGGTAATCGGCGCTCTCAGTAAACCCCCCCCTCCTCCTTCCTCCCTCCCATCATTACTAACAACCTCGCAGTGGAAGCAGTAGGCTACATCGGCCGTGGAATCTCTCACCATGACCGCGAGGTCCTAGCACCCTATCTGGTCCAAGCCCTCCTCCTACTGGTCGCGCCAGCACTTTATGCCGCATCAATCTATATGATTCTTGGCCGACTGATCACGAGCATCGAGGCAGAGCGCCATTCCTTGATTCGTACGACCTGGTTGACGAAGATATTCGTCGCCGGGGACGTGCTCAGCTTCCTCATGCAATCCACTGGGGGCGGAATGATGGCAAAGGGGGACGACTCAGTAAAGATGGGGGAACACATCGTCCTGGGCGGTCTATTTGTCCAAATCCTCTTCTTCAGCCTCTTCATGATCGCCACTGTCGTGTTCCACCTGCGCATCCGGAAGGACCCGACGCAGGCTTCGCAAATGGGCACGGCGTGGAGGACGCTCTTGATGGCACTCTATATTGCTAGTTTGTCCATTCTGGTTAGGTCGCTCTTCAGGATCGTCGAGTATATCCAAGGAAGGGAGGGATATTTGATGAGCAACGAGGTGTGGCTGTACATTTTCGATGCGGTGCTTATGCTCTCTGTCACTGTGCTATTCAATGTTGTGCATCCGAGCGTTGCGGTTCCCGGGAGGAGGAGGAAGGTTACCGAGCATGGGTACGCCATGAGGAGCGGGGACTTGAGTTAGGATTCGGCGTGAGGACGGATAGTGGGGGGATATGGACAACTACACAGGCTGTCTTCTCTTTTGCCCGCACCCTTGTTTTCCTTGTTTTATTTTTCTCGTTTGCATTTGCCATTTATTTGTCATTAGGAGTAAATCCCCTAGAAGCCAACATTTATTTCTTCCCGGTTCCCGCGCTCATTTCCCATCCCCTCTCATATCAACCCCCAAATCACACCCATAACCCCACTCCCTCACACAACATACCAAATATCATTAAACCAATCAGCTATACTGTGTCGCACTAGTGAGCATTTCTTTGATTCCACAAAACGGACTTCACCCTCAACCCAGTTTCCACCCAGCTACTGTATTCAACTACTGCATCCACTCGAATCGGACACTGTCCTGTACAGTACAGCACTAGGCCATTCGGGTCACCTCTCCTAGTAATGTCCGGTGTAACATAGCTTGATCCTGTGATGCCGAATCCGCTCCGCACGCACCCCTTGTGGATTATCATAGCACTATCAGCCTCGTGGACGGCCACGACACCTGCTACGAGTAAAGTGCGCGGTCCGCATATCCACAGCACGGAGTGTGGTTCCTCACCAAATATCCAATCGCACCGGTTTCTAACCCGCGAAATGGTGAGATCGCGACCCTACCGCCAGTATAAATTCACCACTTATTGAGACACGGCTGCTCGATTGGTACTGGTATTTTAAATGGGGAATGAGTAGATGTGAGAAAATCTTGTTGTGAAATCGTAGATCAGAAATAGGTAGATAATGCTTTGTGTGCCATCTCTTTTACATTCGAAGCTCTAGTCGTCCTCGCGGGCATGGGCTCCTTCGGGTTTCTTGAATAATCTTACTTAATATTCTGAGTGGGCACTTTATTAAGAGCTTCTGTTTTAATACATTCCAACAGTGTCTGGATCTTTCTTGGCCCTGTGGATGTCAGAGCACTAGTATAAAATTTGTTCTCTTAGTGGGATTGAGGTAAAATAAAGCAAATAGTAATTGTATTTCCTATACCTTGTTTTCCCCCAACTAAGCTGTAGTATATATAGTGTATATCAAGAGTTCAATTGGGCTCTTGGGCTTGTGGTGCTCCTACGGCATTGTTTGCCAAGCACTTTTCCCATGGATTCTCACCGGGCTGAGCTAACAAATCCTAGGACCGAGTTAGAGAATTTGACCATTATCATAGACACGGTACCTGTGGTCTTGTATGAGCAGGGATAGGTGCGAAGCAGAAGGATGTGTGACTGTCACATTAAGTGCCGGTTCTCCTGAATGGGCTTATCCTGCCATGGTCCGATGAGAGATGAACAACCAACAAAAACACACTGGACAAGGTAATAATGTCCAACCCAGAAAACCATCCACAATCATATTCCCCATCACGTCCACAAGCCCACTCCTCAAAATTTGTTCCTCAACTCCCCATCAACAACCAACCCCCCCACCACTCTGGTAATCACTAAAACCGCTTCCCCCGAAACTCTGAACACTCCTTCCGCCCTGCCCCCCATCTCGCAATGGCCCAGAATACTAGTAACACCCACGACAACTCCATCATCCTGCTCACCGGTTGGGTACTCCCCACAGATGTAGAACGCCGCGGAACCGGCAGTCTCTAGTTTCACGCATTGCTTGTCGGGGGGTATGTTTGGCAGGACGTACCCGTTCATAAGAATGCGGTTTCCAATGGCAATGATGTCCGAACTCCGAGGGGAGTTGCTGGTTGTTGCACAGCGGTAGTATCCGATTTTAAGGGAGTCGGGAAGAGGAAGGGGAGCGGATGCACCAGGGGCGATTTCAATTCCTAAGGCAGCTGTGGAGGTGGGAACGGGTGAGGTGAATGGGAGGGAGGGGGAGTGGATGGTGGAGGAAGCCACCAACGAAGCCAGGGTGAGGAATTGCATGGTTAGGGATTTTCCGTAGATGGTCTGCAAAAACTGAAACTCGGAAATTCGACGGCTTCGAGAGTATTTAAGGTCTCTCTTTTTTCGCTTTTATTCTCCCCCGCGACTACGGGTTCGGGTAGGATACCAGCTTGTATGTGTAAGGTGGAAACGAAAGTCGGTGGGATAAAGAGGGTGGTAGGGGGTTAAACGTTGGTGATTGTCGAAAACACCAGGAGGAGAGGCAATGATCGGAACGAGGATTCCCCGAGAGAAGTGAACGGAAGGGTAGAGGGTTAAGCGTGACAAGCACGGTGTCATATGATATCACACACAGAGCTAGGGGCTAGAACCCATATGGAGGGTGCGAAGGAGGTGGGAGAATGAAATATATATCATAGAGAAAGGGTTTTCACCACTAATGTCCTCTAGTACCGGAATGCAATTGTCCACATATGCCCAACTCTCGAGTGGGCAATCGTCTAGCTTACATGTCCAACAGTGATGTGTACGTAGTATTTGTAATAACAAAGGTTATGATGGTATTTCGATGATACAGTTCAGTGACATAATTAGCTAATCATCACGTCGACCCTCGGGCGGGCGAGGAGTCCGCATTCCCTTAGCCTTCTCAGGAGTAACTCGTCTTTTGCGTTTTCCGGGGCGTAGATTTCTTTTAGAGTCTTTTCTTGGGTTTTTGTGTCAAGTTTGATTGGTATTATGAATGGTGACAGAGCCTGCGGCTTGTCTGGCCGGAGGCACGTTCGGAGTACGGAGTGTGAGTTCGGGGTGCGAATTTCTAGTAGTTTTGAGATTTGCTCGGTGAGTTTGATGGGGAGGGTGGTTAGCGACATTTCCCCTCCGGTTGTTTGAAGAGATGCGATTCCCCGGGGGGGGCTCAAGGTTTTCCGTCCCCAATTGCAGGAAGGTGCCGACTAAGGAAGAATTTATGAGGGTAGTGTCTTTCGGGAATGAACCTCTCTCATCCTGAGATCCAAAGCAAGAGAACATTTTTCTTAGGCAAGGCAAGTCCAAACCAAGCCGGTTTTTTTGCGCACCCCTACTCCACTGTACTCAGGCTGCGGGTATCGTAGATAAGGGGAGAAATTTTTGGATGGCTAGTCAAGGGAGACGAGACCTGACTGCTGATCGGCAGGAGCGCTACAGGACGCCATTAAACAGAACAGTTGTACAAAGTCATCGTTCGTGATCCTAAACCTGTCGTTATGAACACAATAATATTACTGTATCTATAAGGCCAACTTGAGACAAAAGGAGAGCGAATAAGGGCTTTCGGAATGGTGTTTTCAAGGGGCCCATGAAATATTTGATTCAACTGCCAATTGATACAAATATCAAACTTGAAATGTGCTCCATCATATCATCCCGTATAGTATTACTGAACAGCAGGCAGCAGGTGATAAGGTATCATATCATACCTATCACCCCCCCCTTCAATTTGGGCTTCTAGTGTCCGCGATTCTTTTCACGAATTTTCCACCAGTGCAAGCTCTCATAGCCACACCCCGCAGGACCATTTTCTCCTCCCTTTTTTACTGAAATAATGTGACTTAGATGCGACACCTATTTTTCGATTTCGCCCTCCCCATCTAACTTATACACATACACACTTAGATGGGGAATTGAACCTATTACATTAAATACTAAACCCACTATAGCCAAACATTCGTGTTGGTGGTTGAGTTCAAAACCTATAGATCCATGGACTGTTTGTCTCTTGAAATTACCCAGTTTGAATGGAAGCCAAATCCAACTTAACTAGAAAGAACCCTTGAAAAAATAATCCCCCCAACCACCTGATATAAAACCCAGTCCAGCTCCTACCTTAATCCCACCTCACCACCGAAACCGGAGAACAAAAGATACCCAATCCAAATATCAAAAAACACACCCCGAAAAGAAACAAAACCCAAACTAATCCGCCAGTCGGACCAAACAAAAAAAAAAACTTATCAAAATGGTTGACTACACTCAAACCTTAGCTACTCCCATTTGCCAGAGCGCCAACTCTCCAGCAGGTAACACCACCCAGCAAGACACCGTGCCATCCACCACTAACCAACCAACCGCAACAACACCTCCACCCCGCCCTCCTGCCCCCCGACCCGGCCTAGAACCAACCGCCAAAGTTCAAGAAATCGCAAGGTCTATCGAAGCATTCATCGGCCTCCTCCCTGTTCTCACCGAATTCCCGGAAGCAATTAGAGACCCTGATGCGATTCCAGCTGATGTTGCGGTGCTTGGGCGATTGATAACAGCGGGGTTGAATTATTTTGCTGATCTAGTCGATTGGGAGGTTGTTCAGGGGGGGTTCGAAGGCGGGGTTATTGAGTGGGGGGAGCGCGATGTGAGTGAGTAGGTATATAAGGGAGTCGCCATGTCCGGAGAGAGGGGAGTCAGGATTCCTTGTGTTTTTTTGGTGTATTTAATAAATGCCCTACGGGTCCCAAAATCACGAATTTCTTTTGTGGTCAGTTGTGTGCCTGAGCTTTTCACTCCGCTACCATAACTTGACTAGCGCCCTGCCACTCTGCATCGGGATTCTATTCAGAGAGGACAAGAGAAAAGGCAAGTTAGGTAAACATACTGACTAAACGAACTTGCCATACGGATTTCTCCATACGTCCATGTCCCACTACCTGGCGCTATCTAGCCCCATACCTCAATGTGACCCTTGGCTCCCTTTCTCTCCGGTTTCGGTACCACTCTGGCGCATCAATACATGCCCATGGAAAAGACCTCCGTTAGGGCAAGGCTAACGTTAATTACTGAGTCCGTTTGAAAGGCCGAAATTTGAGTTTTCTTGAATACAAAGCACAGGTTAGTAGGGTGCATGATATCCCGAGTGAGTTTCCATGATCATTTATCCAGTAAAGGCTTAGAGTCAGCTGCCTCACAGTTGTGATCATTAAATAATGCCAGGTGAACGCGACCCTTTGGTGAACGGGGAGCCCATGGCTCAGACAAGCTGAACTGAGCAGCCCTCGGAGCGGGATGCGGATGGTGTCAATACGCTGCCGCGGTTAGTGTACTTGTCTCTTCGTTCTTTCCCTGGAAAATCTTAAATGGTGTGAAGATAAGAACCTAGTCTCACAAGGATAATTAAAGAAATCCCGTAACGGAACCAATAAATCAACAGGGAATATTTAGTGCTCAAACTGACTACTGGCCTTGAACTCCATCGCCGAGATCATAACTTAATCTGTGTTGGCGAGAAAAGAAGTAACCAAACGATTACTTCCACAAAAAAAACTCTTCCTAGGGTTAAGTTAAGAGATAAACCAGTCATAGCATTGGTATTAACCAAGAATAATAGAACTTATACTGTGGCCTCCTCTTTAATTTGCTTTTAAGACAGTCTTGATTCCAAAGGTGCTCATATTCTGATCTTTAATCGGAGTAATAATATTATAGAGCTCATTTTGGAAATTTTGATTGGATAAACCTCGGCGCATAACGCCTTTCGATTAGAGCGCCATCCTATCATACACCTAACCCAATAAACTTGCAAGTTGGCAGAAACGTTTGGAGGTGTGCACCGAATACTTGATTACAGCTTTAATCCTCTTACTTAGCCTACACTCTCACCCCCCTCTCCTACTCGTATACTTCACTTCACACTCCTCTTTAAAACACGCACACACACACACACCATACATAGCACCTGAAAGGGAAAAGGAAGATACGTTGCCGTCATTCAAATACATCAACAAATAATGGACCACTCAAAGTTAATTCTCGCCATCTCCCCCATTCCCTCCCTTCCTGCTAGCAATCAGCATTTCCAACGCCCAAACCGCCGTATCCAGGTAATGCGCCTCCCCGGCCAACTTTCCCTCACCAATCGAATTCAGATGTTCCCCCAAACCGGTCTGCATATCCGCGAGCTGCTGGACGAGTTCCATGAGTCGGCCGCTGTTGATGATTATGTCAAAGACGGGATCGGAAACTTTGGCGGGTTTGGAAAGGGTGGTGGTTGATTCGGTGACCGGATTGCTGAGAATGGGGATGGAGTCAACATTTTCGGCAGCCTTGATGGCTGCGGCGATGAGAGAAGTGGTGAGGGTCGGGGTAGTAAGGATAGGCCGCTTTCCGCTAGGTTGACGACCTTTTCTTGCTTTGGCTTGCATGATAGGTTGGTTGTTCGTGGCTCTTTGGTGGAGGATGTGTAGGTGTGATAGAATGGTTTTCGCGGTGGAGTTTTTGCATCATAAGGAGTAGTGTGCTGCTGAACTGTGGGGGTTTTCGCCAAAGGTAGCGCTTTGCTCCAACCCCCTGCGGGCTTGTGGGTGGGGAGTGAAGAGGAAGGGTAGGGTATCTAATTGTTTGACCCCAGAACTCCAGCTCAAGGGTATAGATGTGCACTGGAAAAGAACTTGGAGGTGACCTAACATACCATATCGCCCAGCCTAAAGCGTGAGCATGGCCAATAAGGGCTTGGAGAGTTCATGTCACGCAAGCCTTTGTATCATAAAAACATTGCTTCAAATTTCCTACCCCAGATATATCAATACCATCCCTTCGTGTATTCACTCCGCTCTACGTGGTTTCGCTAGCACCGAGATAGTTCTTGATCCTTAGAGAGAGAGTAGAACCAACTAACGAATTAGGCAATGATAACCAACTTTAATTCCTGGGATGTATGAAACTACAGAAACCACGCGATTTCCCTGCTCTAATTGTCCTTGGCAGCCAAAGAACAGCCACGATTATTCCGCCCAAGGGGTTGAAAAATCCAAAAGAATAGATTTTAAGTAGCGCGAGAGTATCCCCATAATAGCGACAGTACCGAATTTCCCTACGCCACTCCAAATATTTGCAGTATTACAGAAGCTCGAAAAGGATGCCTATGTCATGCCCGGGGGGCGGGTATGGCGGAACTTTACCTAAATACGCCAGGGAACTGATGAAAATACACTAGAGGAACTCTGCAGCTTTTGGAAATTCGGCAACAATCGCTACAGCAGGGGATACTTAAGTCGAAAGATCGGATTTCGAAGCAAAACATAATCCGCCGGCTTAAGTACAATCTAGGGGTAAAGGTTAAGAAGATTGTGGAGAAAGGAATTAAATTAAAACTGAGGAAAGAATAAAAAAAAAGTTTTGTGATTCAACCGGGAATCGAACCCGGGTCGGGCGCACATTGTGACATGGCAAGCGCCCATGATACCTCTACACCATTGAATCCTTGACTAAATTGAGATTAGAGATGTTGATGTGGGTTCGGCGAGACAAGAACCAAATCGACTTGGTGCTAAGGTAGAATTTATGAGAGGAACCAACCTGGCGGGGGCCACTAGGTTATCGGCCGATTTTATGCTTCCCCCCAAAACATGGGATGTAGATACAGTACCAGTGCGCTAGCTGCCTATAACGGTCCCTATAAGGTGGACGAGAGATAGCCAATTGAGCTACTGTAGGCTCCCCCCGCACCATAATAGCGATAAAATGACTTCCGCCACGCTTTCTCAGGAACACTGTGCCGTCCCCCTGGGTAATAACATCCGTGCATGATACAGTACTGTACTCGTACTTGTACATACACGTACAAAAAGGTTTGAGGAATCTGTCACCTGGAGGCCAAGAAACAGGAAGCGCCATTCGTGCGTAGGGATACTCAAGTGCCCGTACCCGCATTAACCCCGCCAACTCCAACTTATTCCGGTATCAGGTATGGTGTTGATGCTACTTTCTAAAGGAGTGCATACAAAACCGAGCAGCGAGCAATTGATAGCACAAACCTCGATAGCAATATCCGACCCTAAGATTGAATGACTCTCCATCAAGTATTGCATGCTGCATTGTTTCCTCACTACTACCGATAGGATTATATTGTAGTATAGAATTCTTCATGTAATTCCAACATGTTTCGATTTCATTTACATCAAGTGACTTTGATGGCCAGAAAGGAACATGTTCAATCCCTCGCAAGTGTCAAATGTGGGATACGAGCACTCTCTCAGGATACCAGTATATTGTGCCACTGCCAGTCTTTTGAACTGCTTAAACACTGCGCTTTTTATGGATCCGTGTGGGCTGTTCCAAGAGAGGTGCCCATTTGAGCATAGTCTAGACTGCTGACACAAACACTCGCAGCACACACCAAACTTCTAAGGAATGCAGGGATAGGTGTCTCAACCAAAATCAAAGTCTCCTGCCAAGAATCGCTTGAACAGTCATCGAAACTGCCAAACCTCCAGACTTCTCCCATAACCTTTTACCACCACCACTACCACCACACACGACCACTACACCACAACCACCCCACCACCCCACAGGGAAGAAAGAGAAAAAGTCCCTACAAATGGCACCCCCCGCCGCACCCCCCCAAACAAACATCGTCCTCGACGAACTGGACATAACTCCCCACCCACGCCCCTTCAAAAATCCAAACTGGAAACCCCCCCACCGGCGCACGAAAACTCTCAAGCAGATCCTCTCCGACGCCACACGTACCGCGGCCACCGGCGAAGGAGGCACAACGCCAGCGACGGGGCCGATGCAAACGACGTACGCAAACATCGAGTCGGCGCCGTCGCTGCATCCCGCGCATTCGAAGAAGTGGTGCGATATCACAGGATTGCCGGCCAAGTACACGGACCCGAAGACGAAGCTTAGATATGCAGATAAGGAGGTTTACACCGTTATACGGATGCTGCCGCCCGGTAGTGCGGAGAAGTATTTGGAGTTGAGGGGGGCGAATGTTGTGCTTAAGTGATTGGGGGCTTACAGGTGGAATGAGGGATGAGGAGGGAGACATTGCACGATAGGGCTGGATGTTGATATCGAATTCACTGCCTGACAGATAGTGGGATTAGGGGGATGTTGTGATACGGCGGCTTGGGCCGCTAAGCGGGGATTGGAGTGGAGCCAGGAGGGAGACCGCTCAAACCACTCAAACCCTTGAGTTTAACTTTGTGTTTTGTTATCCGTTTATCATAAGGCTGGCGTACTCGCCTTTTTTTTTTTTAAAAAAAAAAAAAAACCCCTCCCTCTAGCATGTTTCTCAAATCAGGCCAGAATGACAAATCCATACATCCAGGAAACCTAACATGTGCGGATTAGGTTTCTGGGATCCACTGGGGTGCGGGTGATACAAGGCGGCTACCCCACCGACAAAGAATGCAATCACAACACTCGCGTACAGTACAAGTGATCTAAACCCAGCGACGGTACCCTTCGGCCAGAAGTCTACAGTTCCGGCCCCACACCCCGTTGCTCCAAAATGCGGGCACTGCCAGAGAGAGAACTGGCGAAGATGACAATAAACCCATTCCACTCTTCGTTCCATATATCCACGGTCTTACTATCATAACACCGCCCAATGGGCCCCATCAAGCCAATCTAACCTCAATAATCCCGTTGCCCGTCCCCTTGGCCCTCCACACTCTCTCCACAACCAATCTTTCATCCACGCCCTTTAGCAACGCCGCCCATTGAGCTTCAGTCCTCTCCTTACTATTAAACAAAAGAAGCATATGAAAGTCCAAAAATGGAATCAACTTGTGACTATCAGGACCCATACGCTCCTCCACGATATGCTCATCGATGAGGAGTCTAGAGCTGGAGTCCATAGCCCTCACAATGTGCGACAGGATCTTTTTACTAGCACTTTATTACCCCGCCCAGTTAGTGCTCCTCCCACCAGCAAGGTAGACGAGATGGAAACCCACGGGTCAGGATGATCATGCAAGATATACTTGAGATAGTAATAAACCCCAGGCCCACCAATCGGCTGCCCCTCGAAGAAATCATTTTCATGAAACTCCACACGGTCTTTAAGCTCCTCGGGAAGTTCATCGCGCCCTTCACTGACCACCATTCCTATATCCTGCACAATGCATTTCAAGTTTGGAAATTTCTGTGCTGCGGCGATAGCGGCGTGTCCGAGGCCACCGCCGATGTCTACTAATATTGTGCCTTTGGGGGCGGACTGGAGGGGTTCGTAGAGCGCCACGAGGTTGGGTAGGCCATCAACAACGTTCATGGCTTTCATAGCTTGGCCGAAACGTGTGCCCAGAGGTTTGTTGTCGGTGCAGATGTATTCGAAGTAGCTCTTGTTCGCTAAGAAAGGGTTAGCTATGATGATGGGTTTGCAGAGGAAGGGGGCGGGATACTATTGAAGGCCCGACTGAAAGCGGATTTCCTACTATCTTCGGGAACCACGAATTCGTTTTCACGCAGAATGTCGGAGACGTGAGGCGCCGAGGTGAGTCCTTCGTCGACGCTATGGAAGGAAGAAAGGGGGGAGTAAGCAAAATTCACGAGAGGTACATATGAAGAGAGAAAGTAAATGGAGTGCTAATCACAGATGCGCAACCATGGAGCCAACCCCGGGAAGCCCGATGGCCGCAGAGCCACCAGTGTGCGCAATATACCCCGGCGCCGTCTCGACAAACACATTCTTCGACGTCAATTGCCGCATCACTCTCACTATACCCTCCGGAGCCGGAGAACACATCAGTATGCTATCCTCCCACTCATTAGCCCCCCACAGTGAGGACAAAACCAACCAATAGTCTCCTCAGGCACCCCCGTCTTTGAAGCCAACTCCGCCAGAGCGATAGGCGATCCATCGGGTGGCACGTTCTGCGCCAGCTTCATGTCGTACGCCAGTTTCATGGCAATAGAGTCTTGAAACCCACTTGACATCATGAGCGCGGTCCTTATGGGGCCCTCAACCAGAGAAATGACCCTCCGACATGCCACTAAGAGTTCGTCTGCTACTTCAACAGCCACCTCGTCGGTCACAGGAATTGGAGGTACTGGTCGGAGGGTGGGTGGAGTGGGGACGTGGGAGAGATAGTTCTTTATGCTTGTGGAGATGATGTTAGAGAGTTCCGTGAGGTCTTCGGTTCTTGTTGCCATTGTTAAGGTCGTAATCGGTACCAGGAAAATTTAGTGGTATTGAACTGATAAGATTAGAAATTCTGTGGGTGCGAGAACTACTCAAGTACCGCTAGGAGGAGGGGAGGCTTACACCGTATTTATATCGCTATCACTCCTAGGTCCCCAAGGGAGAAAGCAAACACATGGTGTTCAGGGCTAGCTACGCAGCATGAGGGGGGCAGGCCAAGTCTACGCAGGTTACTAATATCAATATACCGCAAAAGGTCAAATACTGATAGAAGAAAAATGTGGTAGGACGTTGTAGTTTCTTCTCCTACCGGTAGTTAGGCGCTTCATGCTCGGGTGTCGGCAGTCGGGTCAACACCCGAAGGTCGAGATCTGTGTACAGTACCCCGGCATAAGGCATTTCGGGAGTGGTAACACAAGCCCTCGTCCCTGGCATATCATTCTGGCAATAATACATGATGTGAGAATACAATGCCAGAGCTGGAACAAGATACTGTACTGTACTCGGGGGTAGGGGTATTTCGGGTGCGAACGGGAGCACTACCCATCGCTAGGTGTGGGAGTGAACCTGTCCAGGCAACCTTCCTCCTATCTTAATCACCAAATTTCTTCTCACTGTTGATTCACCTCTGTCATCTCTAAACACCTCCTGGAGGGTACATCGGCAAAAAAATTTCAGTCTGTAGTAGAAGTGCTCGGAAGTGCATCCCAGATGTGTCGGGTGTGTCCTATTACCTGAATAGGAACTCTTCGCACAGGAAATTAACTGTGGAAAACATAACCTTTGGACAAGACAGTGCTGCAAACGGATCAATATTTTGTAAACTGTTGGAGACCCATAGTGGTATAATTAATTTTCTTATGATATCAATCATATACCCATAAACGTGACCTTAAAAACAGAAATTATTAAGAAAGATCATGCCCGATTGGTTTCTAATTTTAACTCAAAGTATAAATGCTCACTATCCTTTAGTTCAAGTAATATTATTTGACTAATTTAGAAATATGGAATTTAGTCTTGTCAGATGAACTTCAAATATTCTCTTAATATACAGGATACATGAGAAAATTGAAATGCAAACTAGCTTTCAGGATATCAAGATTTTTGTTTTTACTAATTTATGATAACAAACACATATCTTTAAAAAATTTAGACAGGTACTAAGTTATAAAATCAAGTGGTTGTAGAAGTAAAACTGATAATACTATAAACCATGTATCAGAAAAAAAATGAAATCTACTGCATTTGTGTAATAGAATCCTGTTAATTCTTACTACTCTAACTGGCTTGATGTTAGTTTTCACCTACTTATGACTTTACCTAGTAGTACATATATTTTCTTTACACTTTAACTTACTCTAATAGTTATAATTTCCTTGTTTACTTCTTTATACCTTTATTATACTATTATCCACATAAGTATTTCCTAGTACTACTAATACTAGTAGATTATAATAATACATTTATAGCAGCTACTTATTCAACCTTATTTGGATTCTATTACTTCTTCAATTAGTTATATCTTGTTACTTTAAGTCCTCTACTATAGGACTTCACCGAGCTTTACTTCCCACTATGTACTATGGTTGTATGTTTTCATTAGATAGGATATTACTGTTAGATTTTCTAACTACAATCTTTTGTATTTTAAAATCCTAGAATTCCTAAAGCATTTAGTCTTTTTAGTCTTACAGGAAAGTTTTTCTTAATATACTACAAGTTTAATAGTTGCTCTATTTTTTTGCAATCAACAATGGTGTTTGTCTAGCCAAACTCTGGTATCAGAATATGGGACAATTCTTGTTTCCTCTCTGATCTGATTTGAAGGCTTATCTGTAGTACAGTTATATGTAATAGAATAGTCTGAATAGATTTCCTTTGTCTTTTCCTAAACAATCCATCTCAGAGCCCTAGGCCTACCCATGAGAGTGTGGCTACATTACGTAGAATACTCCTTGGAAAGCTAACTAATCAGAATCTTTGATCCACCTTATAAAGGTATTGCTTCCAGCCCTAACACTGATGTAACTCATACCTCTGCATCACCATATCCTATTTCTCACAAGTATGAGTCATATGAAATCCATCAACTGGCTCTATTGAGTTAGCCGAACTGTTTGCCTCATATATATAACTCATATGACTCATTCCTCCTTGTACTGTATGACATACTAAAAACATATAAAATATTACTCACAGAGGAAATATTCTGCTTGTTATAGTCCGATCTGTAATACTTTCTCTTAGTTTTACTCTGTACTTAGAAGATTGATCATTGTTGCTTCATATACTAAGCTAATAGTGTTTGAGAATCTTGATGATATTCTTGATATACTTTGAAATATGTTTCAATTTGGAAACCAGCTTGTATTTACATTTTCTTTTATAACATATATATTTAAAGTATATTTTAAGATTATCTGATAGATACAATTTTATACTTTTGAAATTAGTAAATATATAATACTTCAATGAAAAAACAGAATATTTTATATCTTTTATTAAGGTTTAAACAATCAGGTAAGTTTTACTCTTGTATTCCTATTTCAAAAATAAAATTTACAGAATTTAATTAAAACCACTATGTTATTATGAATCCTGCAATGTTTACAATATAATTACCTATTTGCCAAACCATTTAGTTTAAATTATTTATTCTCAATATTCAAATCCCGATATGAAGATTTCATAATTATATAATTAGGCAGACTAAATACACTCTGAATATATTCCAGATAACTTTCTCTACAAACTAATATTTCAGATACAAAGTGTATTTTTTTATTTGCCAGTAGGTGACTACATTCTGAAAAGTAAGGTTAATAAGCTGCAAGCTATTATCAAGTATTCTTGACATTTAATATGATACCTGCCAATTCAGATTACCAAACTTCATAAATTGTACTAGTATCTATGTAACTAGATTCCATATTTGAAGTAGAACTTAACTTGTAGTCAACTAATTATAACTCTAACTATTACTATCATTCTTGATTACATAGTAGGTAGTAGTATTATAAAAATAGTATATAAATTCTTATTAGTTCTTAAATAATCTTAATATTCTAAGGATTTTATACTTATTATATATTTTTTAATTTTAAATTAATAATTTTACTATATTCTATTATTAATTTTTTTCTTCAACTATTTTGTTTTTAGTTTTATCTGCATTTAAGTATAGCTTATTCTATTCCAATTTATTGTAATACTGTATGAAGATTGAATGTCTCAGTTATATATCCCAAGAAACCAACTTCTATGAAATTGGAATATTAATTTGAGAGACCTGGATCTAAGTAGTAAGGACTGTACAGAAACTCTTCTTCAAACTCTCATATAACTAAGTGGTATTAAACTCTTGTGTAAATTTCTGAAGCATTTATCTAATCCAAATATTACATGAAAAAGTTTCTAAAATCATTTGATATTGGATATTTTCTTGCAGTCCTTTGTATTTACAGCTAATATCATACCAGTATGGTTCATACCATTCAAAGAATTTACCTAACTGTATAAAGAGTATTATATATGGCGATGTAATTTGAGTGCATGGTTATTCTTTCAGCATACAAAATTTTTTTCTTTTTCCAAATTGGTTAAGAGTAATTAGGCTATAATAAATCTAAGTAATTTGTTTTATAATATAAGTCTGAGAATAATAAACTGATAAAATTTAATAATATGATATATCATAATACTATAGGAAGATTTGAGAAAACAAGATACACGACAAAAAAAAAAATAGTTTCAAAATATTTATTTAGAAAAATAAAGAGATAAAAAAGAGGATTTTATAGTATAGTAATTATTAAACAAACAATTCAAGTAAGATGTAATAAAGACTTTCATGATTCTGAATATCTCAATATAATTCAGTTGGAGTTAGTTGTCGTGAAAGCTCAG